TCTTTTAATCTGTCATCTCTTTGACCGAGATGGGCTTTAAGCACTGACCCTGATCTTAGACCTGTTGTCCAGTGCACCACAACACTCCAGATTATGTTTTCTGCGTTTCACTCACAATCCTTTCTCACCATTTGTCTGCGTTGCTTACATCCTCATCTGTGTGCCGTATAACCCAGCAACAGTTTGTGCACATGCTCAGTGTGCACTCTGGGCCGACGTAAACAGAACAGATTAACTTTCTTCTGATAAATCAGTATCAGCCGGAGCAAGATTAACTGCAGGATTTGACATCAGAGAAACCCCTTCTGCTTACAGGCTCACACAATACAATATATATATACAGTACATTTCATTCAGCATGCAATACCCAAGAGGCTATACAGAGGCCTAAATTAAAAACATATTTTAGATTTGAAACGGTGTGGGAGTAAAATTAGGCATTATATTAGAAGTTATGTGATCTCTAACTTATGCACTATATCTTTGAATTGCATTTACAGTGTATGAATCCCTGTGGACAGTACCTTGTGGGTGGAAATACTCATTTAGGACAATATGGGAACATTAGAGTGGTAAGTGTGTGAGACAAAAAGCAACTTTATTTTAAATGTTTTTGCTTCCAAGTACTAGACCAGCCATTCCCGAAGTCTGTAGCTTGAGTTCCCTCCAAAAAAATCACACAAATCTGAATAAAATGTAATGTTTGTATTTTGAAATATAAACTAAATACAATAATAACATATCACAATAACAATCATTTGATTTGTAAAGATCAGAATGGTATTCATGCAGTAACTTTAACCAAATATTTGTGGGTTTTACTCCTTTTGTTGTTTTAGCAACCTTTTGGGGGCTTCCTGAAGTGTCACGTTGTGAAGCACTAACATAGACATATTCCACAAATTGTAGCTCAAAGTAGCATTACGCCTCTAATGTTGCTCAACACTGGGCAGAATAAACATTGAGAGAATGTCACAGGTCATATGTTTGTATAGGGCCAGGTTTGTTAGTACTGAAATATTCCATTTTAGTTCCATTTACACTGCACAAGTAGCCAAATTTAAAAAACATAGTCATTTGGGAATGCAGTCTTCACCACAACAGGCCCATTAGCTCTTCTGGCTCAGGCACATATCATCCCCAACAAGCTGCTGCTCACTGATGGCCAGTGTTAACCCCACACTCAGACGGGCTACAATCATTATTTTGAGGAAATATTGCCCTGGAATGAATGGCTCAGCTTTCTTCATGAATAAATGTTATGTCTGCTGAGAACTATGACTGGATAGCTCAATGTTTAGTTAAGGATGTTTGTGTGTCGTTTGAGGAGTGGGAATTGTGGCTCCTCTCAGGATTGTGATATCACACCACATTTTACAGCAAACACACCAACTGCAAATCAAGATATTTTATGCTAAAACAAAATGTAGATCCAATTAAAATCCAGTTTTCTTTTTATCTATGTATACAGACACGCTGCTAGAACATTTAGTGTATAGTGATCCAACCGTTTTTCAGTCTTCTTTTTAGTTTTTTACATTAATTATATTTGTTATTGTATCTCAACGGACAAGCTGGACCACTTGCTGGGCATGTAGGTTTCCCAGAATTTCAATGGTAGTGGTTGTCGTGAATGACCTTTCATATGATGATTCAGGAAGGAACATCACTTATTCAATATTCAACATTTTATGTTTTTTTTTGATAAACACTTACAGTTTTGTGTATTATTCCAAAGAATGATTTTGTATACTCAGTTTGATGATGTACGACACAAATACAGTCTGCCACCATGATGTGTGTAGAATAGACTGATTAGTAAAACACCAATATTGTTATTTGTTGTATGTATGCGTATGTATACGTTAGGTTGATACTTTATCTACTTTACGTCACTCTTTGTTGAGACAATTTTTAGAGGTAATAATTCCCTTTTGCATGAAATCTTTATCACTGACAATGATTCCTTTCGAAGTGTGATATTTTGCTCACTGAACAGTGTAACGGGCAAATTGACTGATCATTTCTGCCCAAAGCTTGTTTTTCCATTCATAAAGCATGTCACGTTGAGTGAAGAAACAATGGCCTCTGAATCCAAGCGTGAACACAGCTTTCTAAAATGTCACTGTTGTAATCGCTGCAGTAAACTTCACAACCGGCAGTTGAGTATTGATTGGATTTTATGAAAATGTTTACAACGCAGACAGCATGGAGACACGTTATCGTTAATGAATGTTAATGATCTACTGGGAAATAATGCTTGTTACCTGGAAGCTAATTCAAAGCTCTACTCTCATCACGCTTCCCAACTGTCTTTGAGCCGTGGATCGCTTTTGAACTGAAAACAGTCATCCCCAAGCGTGCTACAGTTTTATGTTATTATTATATAGTATATTAGTTGTATGGATGTGTGTGTGTTCGTGTCTGTGTGTAATGCATTAATTTACCTGTCTGAAAAACAAATGTTCCTCACATTCTTCTTGTGCCATTTCTGTCAAGTGTACTTCATATGACCAAAATCAATGTGACCCCAATAACTGGGCCATGATTTATTTTTGCCAATCCTTTATCTTGGATCTCTTTAAAAGTTTGTTTTTCACCCAAAATCCATGTTTGTTTTTACAGCTGTGCCAAAAAAAGAATGCTGCTAAAAATAAAAAAAACACAAAAGACTCACTTACTGTTGAATCCAAGTCATTTTCTATACTTTCATTTCATTATTGGACAAAGCAACGAGATAAAGACCAGAGAAAAATAGGTGCATTTACAGAGAAATGACTTATATTTGGGGGAAAAGTTACATATTTCAGAGCTAAATATGTATAACTGTGTTGGACATTATGAAATAAGTTGTTTCTAATCTAGTGATGAGTCTTAATTATCTGACAACCAGCCTTTTTGCCTTTATAGTGAAATGTATTAATGAGAGAAGAGAAAGCGTTAACATTTTAACTAGATGCTGCTGATTAGTTACCCCTGAACAGAAACACCCTGAAAGCATAGGTTTCCATTACATCGCCAAATACAATATATTCTTTCATTCTATTTTATCATACTGTAGATATTTAGGGACAAAATCTACATTAATGTCAATGTGCCGGTATTAGCTATACAACTAGTTTTCAACTGTAGTACCTTGGGCGAGTTGTAAAATTCAAGAACGCCCAAACATTACATACAGTAAAGTTGAAATATTGCAATAAAAAAGTGTAGTTAAATCATACAAAACATAAACATAATAGTATATTTCATTTCAATGGCAGCAGGGCATAAACACAGACAGCTGCTCAAAACCTTTACAGATGTTACAGGCTTGATTGTCTAATAACCGTGTTGTTTTTAAAAGTCGAGAGTTGGTATTGAGTTCCAAATCTGGACGGCGTGCACTGAGAAGGCCGATTGGCTGAAAGTACTTCTTCTCAGTGGGACGACTATTAGCTAGCAAATCTTTTACGATATAAAAACCAGGTTAGCATTTCGAAACATCGGAACATCACTTCGTTTTCCCAGCCTAGATATATCAAATCTGTCATGTTGCGTCTACAGGGTACATACCGCGTGATTAGTAACTCCCCTGGCCACACATATACCATTAACTAGTTTCATTCTCCACCAAAAGCTTGGGGAAATCCCTCTGAGATCAATGGAAGGGGAAGATGAGTTATTGCAGCAGCCGAGCATGTGCTTACTGGGTGTGAATTGTGGCTACGAGGGGTGAATGTTGTACAGCACGTTTCAATTTTGAAGTGAAGGCCTTTGATTTCATGCATAAAAGAAGATCGAGCGAGGAGAGGATGCTGATGTGAAGGTCAATGGTAACGCTGTCTTGCTCAACGCCGGACATCCATTATGGCCATTAACCTCTTTATACTTCAGCACTAGCATTAGCTCCCTGTATCATCGTCTTCTCCAATGCTATCACTTATCAATGTATTAATCTAGGCTAACCTTGGAAATGACCTCCGTGCGAGAAACAAGGAGAGAGTTTATAAGTTGCCTTGGAAAATGTCGCTGCGTGAGTGATTTATCGTGATCTCCCATCTCCATCCGGACATCGCTCACGTCTTTTTGGAGTTGCCCCGTTATCCACTCTGTGATGTGATGTTATGTGTTGTGAGCTGCGTGATTGAATAAAGGGAACGATGGTGGTGGTAATGCAGTAAATGCACTCTGAAGGACAAACATTATCACCAGGTTTGAGGTACATGGCCTGAAGTAATGCGTTTTTGTTTTTTCGCTGAAACACCCTAAAAGCCTTTTTGAGATAATTAAACCAGATTGATTAATTCTGTATTGACAAATGTGTTGCTTTAGTTGCTTTATCGTTTTAAATAAGACAATCATGAATAATGTGGTGATAATACAAGGTTGTTTGGACATAATTTTTTCTGGTTTTCTTTGCTGTTTAAATCCGTTGCCGCAGTGACAGTGTGCAAACTTACCAAACAGCAGATTGATGAAGGATTTGCAGAGTGTCCGTCTATGAGCTAAATTATTGATGTTGATGCAGGGTGTCGATGGGAAAAGGAACAGATTGTTTCTTTGCTAAGATAGGTTTGACACCGTGACAATGGATGATCTCTTGACATTGACATTGTTGGTATTAGTTTGGTCTTGGAGATCGATTCTAAATGCTGTCTTCTGTGTTACAATACAATAATACATTTAAGGACAGTATCTGTTTTTTCTGTCAGTTGTGCGTATCATCATGTCATCGGTAACTGTGTTTATTTTTGTGTGATTTAGGACACATTATTTGAACTATTAGCCCCCTATAAGTTATTAAAGTTTAAAATTGTCAAGACCAGTTCAAAATGTTTGCAGTTGTGGATCTGGTCTGAAAAGGGTAGAAACCTCTTTTATATCACAGCTTCCTTCCCATTTATTCCCTTCCTCTTTTAATATTTCAAATTAACACTTTCTTTATTTTGGACTCATCGGTGATCAGAGATGTTTACTTCACGCAGTTGTATTCACTGTTTCCCACCCGCCTTGTACAGGGATGCACACCAGCATCAGCGAGATCCTGAAGGAGAAAAGCCTGAAGCCATCCCGCCGCAGCCTGCCCTGTCTGGTGCAGAGCCAAACCCATCCCATTAACCTCAACCACTTCCTGTCTGTGTCCCTGAGCCCGGAGCCCAAACCTGAGGCGGACGTCCTGAGCCAGAGCTTCAGCACCTCCTGCAGCCTGCTCCCTCCACACAAAGGTACCACACAAACACACGCACAAACCCACCGAGCCCATTAAAAAACAACAACACTAGTTCTGATTCATGCAGCCATACTGGGAGATTTATGCACAGGCACCTCAAAGGAAGATTGCATTTATGATGGAAATCAGAATGGTGGAAATATTGGTCTCTCTCATCTAGCTATCTGAATAATTGCTTTGATATTGTGTCAATAAATGTGTTATAATATTCTTCAGGCTACAAACCTTTTAATGATATATTTGGCACATTTTTAAAGGGGTCCGTTTCTGCCCTCTGTAATATTATCTTCTATGACCCCCGTGGCTCTTTATGAAATACATTGTTTTTATAAAAAGTTACAGAAGAATTCACGTAGCTCCATCTTCAATCCTCTTGCTCCTTTGACAAAGTATCAGAGAAAAATGCAGCTCCCTTCCTCTAAAAACAAATTCTAATCGATTTAGTTTTACCTCGTGAGCAAAAATGGCTGTGCGAAGAGGTTGAATCCTGACTATCTCAAGGATTCAGATTAAACCTAAGAGAGGTCTAAGGTGCCGGTAGTCGGAGGAGTGGGAGGAGAGCAATGGCGGCACACGTAAATCAGTATATTAAAAAACCATTGTGCACAAATGATAACTGTGTGTAAATGACCAGGGGAAACAACTATCACATGGCTATCACAAGCTGAGAAAATTGTATTTTTAGCTTATGTTCCCTTAAAGACCTTGGAAAATAAAGCATTTATGATTTAGTCCCAGTCCACAAACTCTCCATTCATGACCTTTTTTGAAATGTACTGAACATAATCTAAAATTCCATTCTGTTTTAAATCTGAACCAGAAACCTACTATTTTACACACAAACGTACATCAGACCACAAAGCATTTTATTTATTTTAGTCTTATTAACTATCCATCCTCTCTGCTTTCTCATAATTAAAACAACAAAATGTAATCGGAAAAGGCACAAAAGGTATCAATAATTTATATGAGGCTTAAAATACTGAATTATTAAGGCGTCGGCGATTCATAGTTGCTGTTAACATGTAAAACCGCATGGCATTATCAGTATATGATTAGCATTTTAATTCTAACTGTATCATTAGTCATGGCCAATTAAACTGTCGGAATGCACATAAACAGCCCAGTAAAGGGACCATGAATTTTACATGAGAGTTGACCTGGGCCTATGCAAGAATAAAATCCTACATACAGTAGCAGCATGGACGTGTTGTCGACATGCATGCAAATATCAACTGCAAGTATGTTCTCTGCACTAGAAGCTATCGGAATTTCTGATAGTCACTGGTGTGAGACGATTGAGGACATTGTAATAACGACGCAGTGGATTTGTGTGGCCATCAGGGAGGGAACAATACATCAGTGTGGTGAATGAGAGTCTGGGGAGAGAAGGGGTCTTGTAATTATGCAGAGGAATATTCAGCAGCGTGTGACAGTGAAGCATCTATTTTGGCAACCTTCAAACGCCCTCCTCCCCTCAGACGCCTCTGTTTCAGTTTGTCGAGATCGCGGTGTTAAAGAGGGCCGAGTTTTTTATGCCGATGAAGCCGCATGTGGCAAGCTGGTGGTATTGTTGTAGAATTGCTCTTGACGAGATAGTCTTTCGAATGTCTGTCTGTGGAGCGCACATGTCGACGTGGGTTAAACTAACAAAATATTTATACTATAAAAACAGGTTTCAGTTCACACAAAAAGATCTTGGTGTTTTAAAAAAAACACCAAGATTCCTAGCTGATTTAGGCGGATCTAAAGACCGTGGCGATCCGGACATTTATGCACATTTATAGACATTGGTCATCCCGTTACCCTGTGGACCAATGGATCCTGTGTTTTTATTGCGTTTCCTGTGTTCAAATTGTTTGATTCTCTATTTTGTTGTTGGCGAATCGATAACTTTGTTTGGTCTTCTGAGACAATGGCTTTTTGTGATTAAAGGCTTTACAGGAATGAGTTGAATTGGATTGGATTGAATTTAAAAGGAACTCACAATGGATCACATGTTTTTTTTCTCAGCAGTTCTGGGGCGTTCTTGTTGTGTCTCATCTCTCTCACCCCCCTCAACCCTTTCACCCCTCTCTGGCCTCGCACCCCTCTCACCCCCCTTGTCACCCCTCTTAGCCCATCTCACCGCTCTCCCTCCACCCACTCACTCAGTCTTTACTGCATGTACAGCGCGGAGCCGGAGCAGATTCACATCCAGCACCGATAATTCTCTGTTAGCTGTTTGTGAAGGGCTTCAGTCAGCTGTGTGGCTTGGGCTGTTTGTGCAGAGGGCGTGGCCACACAGAAAATCACCTCCAGAAAGTAATCATGTTTTCATTTGGTAATGGACATTTCCCAATACCTATGTGACTTATGTTGCAAACAGACGGACAGACAGCATAATTCCACATATTGTTATAGAACATTTGTTTACCTTATTATTGTTGAGGTTATTGCCTAACAGTAATGTATTTTTAATATTTGTAGCACATAACGGCAGAGGTAATAGAAAGTTGTAAGCCAGAGCAATTCAGTTTGTGGCCATACCTGTATGTGAAAGCCAAATCCCGTCAGACATCTGAGGCTAAACCGGGAAGGGCCTGGTAAGAACTGTGATGGGAGACCTCTGAGAACTGTGGATGCGTCTGTAAACTGCCAAACTGTTGTTGTGTCCTTAGGCAAGACACTCACTGTATGTGTGAAAATAGTTGGTGGTGGTCAGCGAGGTCGATTACACATACTGGTGGCACTTTTTTCCTGGAACTTGCAGCATTGTTTGTATTTGTTTAGATCTGCAGAAGGCCACAGCAGCAAACACACTTAATAATTCCATTAAACATTCAAAACGTTTTTGGATCCACTTCTGTCTCCCAGATCACCCAGATATCTGACTCATGCATTCTTTCATCTCTGAATCCAAAATGAGCAGAGTTCACAGTAGAAAGTGCACAGAGACACTGGGATTAAAATACTGTGTTTTGTAGCTTTTCTTGTCAGCTTGACACAAGTGAGAAAGTATAACTTCTGGTGATGGCTAAAATGGACAGGTTTCTGTAATAGTTTGGTGTGCCTATTTTCACTTTATTTTGTCTTTGGAGTTTATTCCTTTCCTATTTACTTATGAGAGCTAAGAGACTGTTTCTCTGTTTGGATGCGTGGGTTTAGGAAAACTCATTTTGTTTGTGCACATGACCTGCACGACTGGAAGGAAACTCAATTAAATCAATTCACAGGTCTGCTAAATTGCATCAAGATGTTGCTCTCCACTTCATGCTCAAAGTGAAATAAATCATATCTAATTTAGTTTGTGTGCAGATGGAGAGTGGGCAATATTCTCTCAAGCAAATATTATATTTTTTGTTACAGAGGATGTTAAAGACCAGTACTTGGAGGAGTCTGAGGCCCCAACATGTGAGACCAGAGCGGACGAAACACTACTGCTGCACAAACCATCAATCACACGAGCCAAACTAGAGGCGCGGGCAGATTCCTTAAAGGTTTGCAAAGTAGTTTAAACTTATTTGTAATGGTACAAATGTCTTAAATACAACATGATCTTCTCTGAGAGGAATGACTCCACATCACACCACTGTTGATCTTTGGAAACCAGCATGATCACACAGATCTGTGCCTTAATAAAGCTCTGCACCCACCAGCACAGCTGCTGCATCTATAAATATTTATTCACATGGTCCAACCATTCGGGGCAATACTTGAGTACTTAGAAGTAGATAATTCATTCTTGTGAATACATTCCTATAAATTCCAATAACTTGGGGATGTGCAGTCTGTATAATTAAATCATCAAGTGTTGCTTTTAAAGTGTATAACTGATATAGCTACGCCTTTTGGAATTAGATGTTTTTAATTATTTGCAGATGCAGTTTTCATCAGCTATATTCCTTATTTTTATGTTATATGTGTATTAAACACAGTTTTTCTCATAGAATAAAGTATACCTTTATTGTAGGGACGGGTGCCAACTGAGTCATCTGGGCTGTGTTTCCGTGATGGTAAAAAGAGAATAGATTATATCCTGGTGTACAAGAAATCCAGTCCTCAGGTGGAGAAACGATGCACATTTGAAAAAAACCTGCGTGCAGAGGGTCTGATGTTAGAGAAAGAGGTGAGTGAAAGCTTATATATTTACACACAAATCTAGTATGTGCCCGTCCAAAGATCAGATAAATGTGTCTGGCCTCAAGTTAAATGGTTCACAAATCCTGAAGTCTTCAAATGGTTTTACTCCTCAGCCTTCCTTAACAAACAATGATATAATGTTTGTGAAGATACACATTCCTTGGGATGCACTTTGCAGATATGCTGAACAAATGAACATACGAATGCCTTTTAGGTAAGAATAGCAAATATGAATAGTTGTATTAACTGATTTTTAGCTTTAACCATTTGTTTCTTTTTTATTTATTAGGAAAAAGTGCTACTTCACAGACTGGAAGAGTAAAAAGTTGGGCAGGTAAGACAGATGACGATGGTGGGAGCGTTCAGCTGGTTCCTGAAAGAGATAACCGTTATCACACTCTGAAGTATAGCCCAGCGGAAGTGCTGGCTATCTCCTCTATGCTACTGTGTTCATTATCTAAGAGTTAATCTCACCTGAAGCTGCTTTATGTAAATATACTGTCAACACAAGTCTAGGATCAGCCTTTGAGAAGAAAGCTGGCAAATACTCACAACACAATCATTAGAATTGTTGCAACTGAACAATTTTATTCAAAAACACTTGTCATCTTTCAGCTCGGCACGATTTGCGGCTATTTTTAGAAAGACAAGCTTTGATGTGTTTCTACAGTGTTGTGCTCTTTACTGAGAGGAAACCGGAGCAAGTTACAACAACAAGAATGAACGTCAAATGACAAAAAACATTATTCCATCAAACTTTGTCTTCTAATTTTTGTTTACGTTGGTTGGCCGTACATTTGGTAAAATGAGAATGTTCAGGAGGATGCTGAGGATGAAGATCTTTATCTATATGCACAAAACCACCAGGCCTAATTACAAACGCTCCAAGTCCAAACTCCTCACTTATTCATTATGTTTTCCTCTTTAAGAATGAATCCCACTGTACCAGTTTCACAAAATATTCAGAGAACATTGCGATTTTAATGTTACATACATTATATATGTGACTAATGTTGAAGTTTATGTTGGGTAATACAAACCTAAAACCTTATTGGAAGAGGTGTCCAGAGTCCACTCTGCTGCAGGCTTTATAAAGATATATGCAGTGCGAGCGGACGAAAGCTCCCAATGGCTGCAATAAAAGGTGTTCTTTGTGTTCAGATTCATGGGCAACAATAAACAATCAACTTAGAGTAAACAATTTGTGTTGCGGAGCTGTGTTGACTCTGTGCAGATAGGAAGCAGATGGGAGGCAAATAGATGGTATGTATTTTAAGCCTTAGATATATTAATAGCACTGCATTAAAGTTATTCCAGACTAGAATTGTCTCATGCAGACTATTCACATCCAGGTTTCTCTGCCAACGGTTTCACCTGTGTCTAATTTAGAACCACTTTTGGAGGTGCCCTACTTTCACACAGGTGAAGGGGTAAGTGTGGCATGTGACTATCTGGGTCATACTGTATGCCTCATTATACATATGCAAACATGAACAGGAAATTTCAAACTATCCATGCATAGCCAGCTTTTTAACCTTAACATATAGTATATTTTCTGGATGGTCTTTCATTGCTAATTTTCTCAGAATGTGTTAATCTGTGTTCTGAACGCCTACACACAGATGAGACAAGAATCACTTATCCACCTTGAGAACAAGCACGACGAATTCTCCGTCGGGCAAAGAATGACACTCGTTATATCTAGCCTCAAATCTGTTCGACTGGCAAATAGACTTTATATGTTTACTGATGGTGTGTCACAGGCTAACGTTAGCTCAAAGCTGGATAAATGGTCCCTGTCCTGCTAATAGTTACAAATCACCCTGTATAGCACCTGTTCCTTCTGCTACAATACTCATAAAGTAGCGGGAGCAGCGCGATTTTCCCTATTTATTTGCAATCCATATCCAAGCAGCCACTTCACAAATTCATCAAGCTGTAGAGAGGCTCAGTCTAATGTGTAATATATCTTTCAGAGAGATGCCAATAAGGGCTTTTGCACAAGCTTTACGAGGAAATCAATGCTTATCTTGAGACTCCAGCTGACTTAAGGGGATAAAGTAGAAAAATAATCTTGGATTCAGAAAGTTCTTTTGGATGTCGTTTTCTATCGATGTGCTTAAAGTTCAAGAATCGCCCTGTGTTTGTGTCTTTGGTGCTACTATGTGTGTGCTGTGTCGTCACAGCTGGTTTCACCTGAAGTGCCAGCAAATTAAGAGCTGGCTGCCCCGAAATCCCATGAAACTGGACAAAGAGGCGCTGCCCGACCTCGAGGAGACGGACTGCTACACTGCACCATTCAGCAGAGCCCGCATGCACCAGTAAGATCTGTGTTGCCCCGCAATGAAAGATTTAGGGTTCTGTTAACCATTTGCCCTATCAGCAGCAATATATACACTATGTGCCATTTTAGATCAAGATTAAAAGATCCTTCATTCGTCCCGCAGTGGTGAAATTTCAGTGTTGCATCACAAGTTACACAACAGTAGGAATGAGGAGCACACAACACAAGATATATGAATAATGACTCTATTCTAAGATCAAATAAAATGTCTAACTCTAGCATAAAAGCAAGCAGTATAATATCTCTATATTTAGCACAATAAGGAATGAAGTCTAAAATCTCCAAATCTGTAAAAGGTGAAAAAAACTACGGCAGAAAATAACACCTAAAAAAAATACCACTCTGCAACAGAACATCATGAGACAGGTGGAAAATCTGGCAAAGTAGCTCACAGTTCAGTCACAGTTGGCTTCATATATTTAAGTAAAAAAATATTTTGGCTCTGTCTTTTCTTTTATAATTTAAGTGTGCATTTTTTCAAATGTTTCATATTTAAAGTGCATTTGGATCATCTATCCAGCAAAAAGCGACTTGAACTGACAGAAGTAGTTTATGTTTCCCACACCATGCTCGCCTCTCTCTCTCTCATATTTCATCAAACTGTACTTTACTCAGTAGAAACTCTAACGTATGGATTTGGAGACCGTGTTACTGAGAAAAATACCAGAGGCAGATCTCTGTTCAAACTGCTGATGTGTAGGTTTTAAAAGTATGGAGTTTCCACAGCGCTGCCCAAAGTGTGGATCATATTAGGCAAAAGTACAAAACAAACTAACTTTTCATGCTAAAAAACATAAGGTTTGCCCACAGCCCGCTCTCACCTTTCAAGCTATATTTTTATGAAATGTTGTTTAATGGTGTTGTGGTGGTTGGAGGGGCTGATGGTACAGAAACAAAAACCTTTCTTTTGTCAGTCTGTCCCAGGGCAACTATAGCTACAGTAGTAGTTTATCACCACTGTACGGAGTGACATAAAATGCCAAGTGAAGCAATTTTGAATGTCCAAAATACCAATGCATTATTATTGTCATTCAAGAGCATTATTCATTTTTCAAATACTGAGATTTTGCTCAAGTGGAAATGTGACTTTAACATTGTATATAGGCTTACTTAATGACTTTGGTCCAGGCGACAATTAATAAAACATCGTCACGCTCTGCAGATGTCCCTGAATGATTACATTTCTCTTTGATGGGAGACATCATGTAATCACATTTGTCAAGGGCTCGTTTCCATGTTCCCACTTGTCAGGGCTGTTCATCCCTTTAGAAGAATGGAAGCTGGGGAAAGAATAAAGTGAATGGAGTTTTTGCGATCACTCATGGTGTCTGCATGATGCCGTAACGCGGGCCTTGACTGAATGACGCTGATGTATTCTTGCTGAACGATCTGTTTTGTTCCCGCCAGATTCACCATCACCAAAAGGGAGACCTTTTTTTCCAACTCCACCCGAAGCAGAATCATTCATCATGTCCTGCAGCGCACAAAGTATGAGGACAGCAAATCAAAAATAGGTATGACAGTGTTTATCTATACAGAGATGTGAATATCTCTTTAAACTTTCCAGTTTCTATTACAACAACTTGTATAACTTTCAAATGATTGCACCTTCATGTGTCATTGTATGCATATTAGTAATGGTACTTTTTGGTTTTTGAGAGGAAGTATCTAGCAATTAACACTAAACGAGTTTACTAGAGTATCTAACTATCTAATAAACTCCATATAATTAGTTCCTCGCACTCAAAACAGTGTCCTAGTTGCATTTATACTTGGTCTTTGTCACATCTTTAGACCAGCTTTTTCAGTGGAAAAAAAAGTGCCAGCCCTTACTCAGCCAATCAGCTCTCAATAGTACTAACATGTTTTCTACTAAGATAACAGAATGTTGGTCTGATTAGTTCACAAAGGATTACTTAAATAAACAAGGGTATAAACTCATTTTCCTCATGATCAAATATTATCTACTGGGCCGTGAAATTAAACATTGTCACTTAATCCACCATAGATTTTGTTGAGCTGCGTAATATGTCTTTACTTTGGATGTTCTTTTCATCCAAATATGTTTGCTCTGTCCCCTCTTCTCTGACCGACATGGCTCTGACCGCATTATAAAGTTCTGTCTTGAGGCCTTGAAAGGCTTGAGCATTAATATTTGAATACTGCTGACCACTTTACTTCCAAACAAAGACACGCTCAAAGGCACGAGAGGAAAATCTGTTAACAGACCGTATCAACACAGTCACTGGAGAAGAATCCAACAATGAGCTATTGTGCTTTGAAAAACTGCCTTTCATTAGAGTGTTGGCTGATCATTGCCTGAAGACAAGACTGCTGAAACGACTCAATTGTCTTTTGCCTTTTTGGAACCTGGTAATAAATGCCAGTTATAAACTAATGTAAAGATCATATAACTGTTAAAATCACATATTTGCGAACTCCTCGTCCCACCCTTTATAAAATTACAATCAGGACTGACTATCCAATATTGCGTTTATTGTTGTTATAGCCATAAAGAAGATGTATTTTTTATTTTACTGCAGGCATGAACCGACTACTGGGCAACAACACGTACGAAGCTGCATTTCCTCCCCATGAGGTAAGTGCAGCTATATTGTTGGACATCCTTCATAATAAAACCTTTATAATGTCTTGCGTTCTTGTGATAAAAGGGTGGATACAAGAGCAGACATCCCATTAAAACACACGGAGCACAGAATCACAGGCACCTGCTGTATGAGCGCTGGGCCCGCTGGGGGCTGTGGTACAAGTACCAGCCTCTGGACCTCATCAGGTAAACACATACAACTGCTGTTATGTGGTCAAAAGAAGATCTCTCTGCCTTAAAGCTGGGGTATCTAACTTGTAACTTTGTAAGAAAATATGTAACTCCTTCCTAGCTCTCAGTTAACTGGTCCATAGCTAACAGTTTGGTTCTATCAGTAGTTTTCACATGTTGCATCGTTTGATCCGCTTTTTGTAGAAAATAGAGGACCACCCTCACTCAGCCAATCAGCTCTCAGCTCAGAGCATCAAATAGTGACTCACAGAACTATTTTCTATAAGTATATGATTCGTTTACAATATTTTACTTTTACAAGGCTCTTTCTATTGGGACAAACAACATGTATTATATACAAAAAACAAAGTAAGGTACCCCAGCTTTGGGAGATTATCCAAATAAATGATCTGTATATGTATTTTTAATAATAATATTATTGCTATGATATTTACATGAAAGGATCCATCCAAAACACTGGCTTAGTCAATATTTATAGGACGTTTAGTCATGAGTGTCCTTGACACTCTGTGTAATAGGAAAAACAGAAGGAGATTAAGTATTTTAATCTGAGCACCAGAAAAGTAGAGCAGGCATACCCACCTGCCATCTTTTGTGAAATCTGTTTTTCTCTAGTCAGTTGATCGTTGAGATTGACACTAACCTTGTGTCTGTGTTTTATGTAAAGAAGCCGAGTCAGGAAGCAATTAGCTACGCTCAGCACTGAGACTGGAAACAGACTGGAAAATACTTAAGTGCCCCTCAAACCACACACTGTTTTTCTACATGATTCATGAAAACAGAGGCAGCACTGCGGCCGTCAGCTCTTGCAGACTCTTTATTATGTTTTGCTTCCGTTGGGATCACCACACGCTACGTACATTTTTGACACAGATGATATTCATCTCATAATGGAGACAGGCTAATGCTTTGAATGGGCTCATTTAGATGCACCCAAGAAGTCAAATAATATCCTAATAGTCCTAATCAACATAATGAGCCATGAAACAATTATATTCAAACTTATTGCAAAAATCCTGTTCATTGCAAATGTGGCATCGTGCGGGCTATGAACTGAAAATTAACAGAAATTGTAACTAAAAAACTATGCCAGGGCTGAGCCCAAAAGAAAATAAATATAACGCTAAAAGTGAACAACAACAGCAACCTGGAAGGTGTTTGAGGTCAGAGACTGAAAGTGACACAGAAGCCAATGAGAAATGTTCAAGATTGCCTGCAGTCGATCTGCTTCACATGTGATACAAAATGTTATATTTCTGTCTTCAGCAACAAGGAAAAAACAAGAAACTATAGTGTCAACATACTGCGTCAACGTCTTGTCCTCGTGCTTGAGCTGTATTCACCGGGGAGTTGAGTCTGAGCTGTTATTTCCCACTGAGCTGTTTCCTTCTTGTTCCTAAATAAACGTCTTGCTCAAGGGCACCTTGACGGCCGTTTAGGGACTGCAGCATCAATTCATTTATCACCACAGCGTCTCGCACTGACCTTTCTATCTACAACAGTCCCATTCAATAACAGAGGCAGCCTAGTATGTGTTTGCCTCACCGCATGGAGCAGGTGCTGCTGAGCAGGTTTATGTGAAGCCTGACCCCTGTTCTCTGCTCCAGGAGGTATTTCGGAGAGAAGATTGGCCTGTACTTCGCCTGGCTCGGCTGGTACACCGGCATGTTGATTCCAGCTGCTCTTGTTGGGCTTTTTGTCTTCCTCTATGGCCTCTTTACAATGGACTCCAGCCAAGTCAGGTCAGTTTGAACCATGATATACAGTTACAAAATTACCCTTGTGCATTCCTCAACTAGTGGGGGACTCACTTGTTGCTTGGGTTCATCTGAATGAGGAAGTTTTGCTTGGACGTTTGTCATTAAACTTTATGTTAAACTTATAATTATATTTTTTATGTGAAACTGGAAAACAAGATGATACATCCTCTAAAAAAAATAAATAAATACCTTCGCTCAGTTAAGTTACAAATTATCGATGGAGAGTCAAGACTTCTCACTGTTTTTCACTGTTTTTTTTACTATCTGTAATTGTGGAATGTACATGCTTTAAACCAATCTCAAGGACATTTCAAGCAAAACCTTTTGTTAAGGAGTTTACCTATAAGTCCCATTTGTCTTCTTGAGGTTTCTTTGTAAGTTTAATATTTGTATGTGCAGCAAAGAGATTTGTGAGGCCAACACAACCATCATGTGTCCCATGTGTGATGATAATTGTGAGCCATGGACTTTGAGTGACAGCTGTGTGTATGCAAAGGTCAGTGCGCTTTCACAATATTTCACCAATTTACCATGTCAACTGTTCACAATGTATAGTTGGAAATACAGCTGTATTTAACACATATCCCTGCTTGTCTTTGCTAGGTGACCCATCTATTTGACAATGGAGGAACCGTGTTTTTTGCTATCTTCATGGCTATTTGGGGTAAGCAGACACCATCCAATAAAACACACATTTAGCCAATAACGTTATATAATTTCTATACAGTCAAAGAATTCTAAACATGATTGTCTCCACAATTACCCGCTGCTTGAGATTCAATGCCACTATACAACGTAATGGTTCTCTTTTTGTTTGCCATCATCAAAATCATATCTGAAGTGTTCCACAGTTTGGCATTGAACTTTGGAGACAAGCAAATTACATCTCGGGGGAGTCTCAGATGACCTATGCAAAGAGACTTAGTAAAGAGAGTAAAAACATCTTAAATCGAACAAAATAATGTCCAAGTATATTAGCGTGCTGCGTAACATTCGAAGGGGGTATCACATCCAACCAATGTATTTGTCTATCTCTATTCTGTATCGTACTTATCATGGGGCTGAGACCATCTATTTTTATCTGTGCTTGCTTTTGTACTTCACACCGCTCTCAACTCTTCAGAGCACATTAGTCTTTCCACAAGAGAATTCACTAGTATCTCAAAGCATCTATATTACCATTAGATTTAATCTTCTTCCTCCTATGTGCCAATTCAATAAGTGCATTGGGACATTATCAAATTGTCAGCCCTTTGTTACGTACATGCACTGTGGTGATGTGAAACTTCAGGCAGCTGGTTTCATAGAAGATAACAACACCTAAATGGCCATCACACAACTTTTTGATATTTTAGCTTATTTGACCTTGTAGGGACGCAGTGACTGAATGAGTAGTCGGGTATTGCCTTTACCTACTATCACAGTGGTATCAAAAATTCTCAAGGATCAATTGTTTGGAAGGTTTTCTCCACTGACAGACCCCTGCACCAGAAAACGTACAAAACAATTGATTCTGGAGAACTGCAGACACAACTGTGATCTGATGTTAAGGTATATGCTGCTCACTCTAACAGCCACTGGTCCCTTTTTCACATAAAAAGTTGCATTGTGCACTATTAAACGCATAGTGCTACATATCAGCCAACAACCTGTCTTTTCAGGGCAGCATGAGACACAATTGCACTCAATGCAAGACACCTTAATATGCAGCATTTTATAGCACTTGCTCAGGGGGGACCGCTTCAAAATGTTTAATTAAATGCCATTGTTATTAAACACACTCATAATTTACCATGTATATAATGACACTGACAGTTTATCTCCAAGTATCTTTTTCAGCAGCTCTGTTTCTAGTTGTCCATTTTCTTGCAAGCATGAATAGAATCCTGTTTTTTTCTGTGCAATCTATTCAAAATAGTAAAAACCACATTTAGTACATCCATATGGAAATACTATATCCGTGACGTGAAATAGATATGCGTCCATCCTACAATGCTGTTGTTCCAGTGTCATGTATCCACAGCGTAAACAATGGAAAGAAAAGACAGACCATATTACAATAGAGAAGAGCAGAACAAAGGAGCCATGCGTCCCGTCTGAAGTCTGCCAACAGCAAGCTGCACTTTTGAAGTCGCAAACCATAAAATTAATCTTGGCGGGCAGAGACTTTGCGGACAATGTTGTGCTCGTAAAACCCATTCTCTCTTAGCCACTTTCCTTGCCAAATCCATCGCAAAGAGCCCAATAATGCTGTGATTGCAATCAGATCTTAGATGGTAACATGCATGGTTACAAGGCACTCCACTTGAGCACCATGTCATCTGGTCACTTCCTTCCATTTGTGCTTGATTAGCTTCAGTGTGGTATACGTTACACCAATAGTGGTCAACAGAGCAATTGATCAATACGATGTCCTTTGTAGCCACGGTATTCCTGGAGTTCTGGAAAAGGAGGAGAGCGGAGTTGACTTATGACTGGGACCTTATCGATTGGGAGGAAGAAGAGGTGCGTCAGCAATATCTACAAATAGATCATTTGCTATTTCATTAGCTCTGCAGGTGACTGTGGTGAATACAGTCCTGGTTCAACAATAGTTCATTCAGACATGTGCTGTGAATGTGTGTGTTGTGCAATCAGGAGGAGCTGCGACCACAGTTTGAAGCCAAATATTCCCGAGTGGAGAGGGTGAACCCCATATCTGGAAAACCAGAGCCTTTCCAGCCTCTCCCAGATAAAGTCAGCCGGCTAATGCTGTCAGTGTCGGGGATTTTCTTCATGGTAAATGCACTGATCTTTCTAATCTGCCCTTTTGTGATTTATGTGCTGAGGTGAATTGCAGGTGCTGTGTGTGTATGCTGCCTTTAGAGCAAGCACAAGAGAAGAGAAGTGCTTGTGTTACAACTCCCCCTAGAGGACAAAGTGTGCAATTTCATATTACAGAAGTAGTAGTATTGATTTGTGTGATTTTAATTTAAATGATACTTATATTATTGCTTACTTACTTCCCCATTTAAATGATGGTAAATTATCAAAAAAAAAAATCCTTCAATTATATTTCCCTTGTTGTGTCTGCATATGATGACTGTGCTCCATGTAAATATATTTTTCACACCAAAATGCCTGTAGGTGCATGTAGGGAGGAAGTTTATTATTGTGACACTAACCATGCAAAGACTTATATTTATAGTTTTGAGTGACTAAAGCTTATTAACTTGATTTAGAGCAATGTTACTATATCTTTTTTAACAGCTGTATTATTTTAGTCTCAGCTGTGTGTGTATAAAGTCCAACAACAGTCGCTTGTTCAAAAATGCACTTGTGTTTCCCATGTGTCTGCAGATCACCCTGGTCTTAGCTGCCGTGTTTGCTGTAGTGGTTTTTCGCCTCATTGCGATGAAGACATTCGCTTCCTTCAATTGGCATTTCGTGAAGAAGAACTGGCAGTTTGCAACGTCCGGCACTGGCGTCTGCATCAACTTTATGATCATCATGTCGCTCAATGTGGTGAGTTCCAATGGCCACGAGTTTAGTTTTTCAGTTTTAGTTTTTTATTTAAAGTGACAGGGACAGTGTTCAGTAAACATTAACCTCAAAGGGAAAGATGCATTGTACCAGGCTATAGCTCAAGAGATAATTACCACCTGTAATGTCTCTGGGCTGATGTTATGATATAAGATTAAAATAACAAACATACATGTACATAGACAGTTTACATTGGGCAAAATACATTAAAAATCAAGTCTTCATGTGCACTATTTGTTAAAGCCTCACATTCATATCACTCATTTATGCAGGTCAAACACACACACACACACACACGCACATATACACACAAAGCATACAGCCCCCACCCACACACACTCTCTCTCTCTCACAGTCACACACATACACAAAACATGAGTGCAAGTTTGTTTTGATAATAACCAGTTCTGTGAAAGGCGTGAGAACATATAAGAGTTTGTACTTGCTTATTACTTTTAAAATTATTTAACTCAAAAAATAAATCTATAAAAAGAAATACCAAGAACTTTTAATTGTAATAATCCATGCTTTGTTTGGAAAAAAATCATGCTTGAAAATAACACTGAAGAAAGTAAAACTAAAATCTAAGTACATTTAATTTTCACACAGGGCTGTCTCATTTCTCACGTTATCAAAAATGTAATTAGTTTCCATTGTGTGTCTTTGCAGGTTTATGAAAAGGTGTCATATCTGCTGACTAATTTAGGTGAGTGTTTAATCCACATGTTACATTTTGTCCTACTCCTGACGCACAGCTCATGCTCTGCGTTTGTGCCTCGTCCTCAGAACACCCGCGCACAGAATCCGAATGGGAAAACAGCTTTTCTCTGAAGATGTTTTTGTTTCAGTTTGTGAATTTGAACAGTTCCACTTTTTACATCGCCTTCTTCTTGGGCAGGTAAACTGTTCTGAGTTTTTCGAGCTATGGTTTATATCGTGGCCTTCTCTGGGTTTAATGGGGCAATTGTGCTGCTTTATATAACGACCTCCTCTGATGTGACTTCTGCCAAACTCACCGGAGCGTTCTGTTATGGCCGGATGAAGAAAAGCAAAGATTGTTGTATTATTTTGAACTCAAACTTACATAACATACTGAACAAGAAGTTAGTAGTAATGCACATTGTATTATGAAGATTGCTAAATAAAATAGTAAATTAGTAATCATAATCAATTTAAATGTTCATTTCCTATGTGATACTTTTAGTTACTATATCCATTATGCGTTTTTAATCTTTTAGTAAAAACAAAAAACTTGTCACAGAATGCAAAAAGCAGATACAAACATAAAAAAAAATACATAATTCTAAAAGTTACCTTGATAGTATTTAAGTGAACATTTTTAGCTCAGACAAATCTGTTATCTGAGCCTGTTAAGCAAATTCAATTCAATTCAAATAACTTTATTGGCAGACAGAGCACCAGAGGGGATACATAAGAACACAGAAACACAAGATATAAAATACAATAAAAGTGCAGAAATGCAGTATAAAATGCATATATTTTGTATAGACTTTACAAGGAGGACTTTACAGAGTTGTCTAAATGCCAACAACAGATCAGAGAATCAAACGGTTTGAACACCAGAAATGTACTAATAACAAATACAGATGTCCATGTATATATATATTCCACTACCACTACATATCATCCATACATTGCCCCCTTTAGTTTTGAGGTTCTGCATGGGCATTCCGCGATGGAATCTGCTCTCAGAATGTCACGGCAATAACCATCACGTGTAATGTAATCTTTTCCTACTCAGAGTTCATTAGTTTTCTTTGATTCAATCAGTTCTCCCAATTGTTTCAGATTTGCTGGCAGGCCTGGAAAATACAATAAACTCTTTAATCGATGGCGGCTGGAGGAGGTGAGTGCAATTAACCATAACAGTACGCTGAGAGTTCGCTTCTCCTGATAGAGCCATATCAGGCCCGAACATATTACTGAAAGTCACCAGAAAGACCCATTCATCTTCCAATCTTCCATATAATTACCCGGAATAAAGGGTTTTGAAAAGAGAAAGGGATGTGTGGCATCTCTGGATCCACACACACATTACCATAATAAAGAATGTAATATGGATTTTGCAGTGAATTATACCTGTTTGTTTGTTCCAGTGTCACCCGAGTGGATGCTTGATAGATTTATGCCTGCAAATGGGAGTCATCATGTTTTTCAAGCAAATCTGGAACAACTTCATGGAGCTTGGTTATCCGTAAGTCATTCTCTCCACATGCTTCTTTATATTCAGGACATTAGGAAAGCAATTGGAATCCATAAGTGTTCTAATATGAGCGCGGCTTTTGTTCAAGCTTACGTAATTTTCTTATTCCTATTGTCTGCTCGGCTCATTATCATATGAAAGACGCGTCAAATCTCTTTGTGGAGGTTTAGCGATGGGTTTTTTGCAGAGTTTGCTGGATTGTCAAAAAATAATTGCTTAGTGCGGATACTTCCACTCTACTTTCAGGTTGCTGCAAAACTGGTGGTCTCGGAGGAAGATGAAGAAAGGAGGCGGCGCAGGGCAAAGCATCGATAACAAGGCCCAACTTCCTCAGTGGGATAAGGACTGGAATCTGCAGCCCATGAATGCACACGGACTGGTGGATGAATACCTGGAAATGGGTACATTCTTCACACAATACATATGTATAAATAATAGGGCTGTAGTTGACCAAAGATATGCCCGATCGGAAGACTAAAGGAGCTATTAAACTTTTATATCTCAACTTTATGTGTGCATTGTGATAATGGGGAATAGAGGGAACATGAATAGCACCTCAGGTAAAGCTGGCTGCTTGTGTTTACGCTTCAACATTAAATACATTTATGATTTTCTCCGCAGTTCTGCAGTTTGGCTTCACCACCATCTTTGTTGCGGCTTTCCCTCTGGCTCCGCTTCTCGCTCTCCTCAACAACATCATCGAGATCCGCCTTGATGCATACAAGTTTGTCACCCAGTGGAGGCGGCCGATGCCCGCCCGAGCCACTGACATCGGTTTGTCCCATCTGCCCCGCACCCTCACAAGAGTCCGTCACAACAGATATCTATTTTTACATCTCCGTAGATTATTTTCCAACATTGGGTTCTGTCCTATGGAGATTCAGATGGTACCATGTCCCATGACCATATGCTGCCCCTCCTTCTGCATGTGTTGACAAACACATGGCCCTACAATATGGGTTCAATTGCACATTGTGTCATTGCTAGTTATAATTGAGTCATAAATGGCAAAAAGGAGGGTCATTCCAGAGAAAAACGTTTGCTGGTTTAACCACTTCAAACATAAAAAAAAAAAAAATGTCATCCCCTGATTGTGAGCTTTTTTTCTATATATAGATTGTCTGCTTCAGCCTTGCAGACAGTTTTTTAACGCATGTTATGAATGATGCTTTAACTTCATAATTAGTGAATGATAAATTACTCAGGTCACATGAGAAAAGATTTCTTGCTTGACATCCTGCAAATGGAAAGATTATTGTAGATTCCTATTTGTATTGTATAATTTATATTTAACAAATAAACTCAGCTAACCCTTAAAATGTTGAAACCACTGCTATTGGTCATTAGATAGGACTGGAAAGACATCTTAATGAAATGACATAAACATGTAGCTCCAACAGAAAACATCCTACCTTCATCTTTTATATATGCTACCTTTTCAATGCTTGTAAGAAGTCCCTATAAGTCACTATTTGACCCTTAGGGCTGAGAGCTGATTGGCTGATTAAGGGTGGTCCCCCCTTTTTCACTTTTCTGTCTGAAAAAGCTGATCTAACGATGTGACAGAAGCCAAAAACTGTTTTTACCCAGCTCAATGCCTTTTTAGATCAGCAGCAATTTTAGAGACATTTCAATCAGGTTTTAGGGTGAACCACAGCACAGAGACTGCTCTTTTAAAGATTTTAAACGATCTTAGACTAAGTTATGATTTCAAAAAGGTGACTGTGTTGGTTCTACTGGATCTTAGCGCTGCCTTTGATACAGTAGACCACACAATTCTTTTATCACGCCTACAACACCTCGGCCTCTCTGGTGCTGTCCACAAATGGTTCACTTCTTATTTAACAGACAGATCCTTCATGGTAAGTTTGGATACCTGCTCCTCTCAGGTCCATAAAATCACATGTGGTGTGCCCCAGGGTTCCATTTTAGGTCCAGTCCTTTTTAACCTGTACATGCTCCCTCTTGGCGGTGTCGTCAGGAGACATGGAATTAACTTCCACAGTTATGCAGATGATAACACAGCTGTACATCTCCATGTCTCCTGATGACACCAGGCCAATGGATGCTCTTTTTAACTGCATTTTAGACCTGAAATCCTGGATGGCAGAAAACTTTCTCCAGCTTAACCAGGACAAAACTGAGGTTTTAGTCATCGGTCCTGAGGCCCAGAGAGAGAAACTTTTATCAAAACTCCAATCACACTCTTTTAATCCATCATCACAAGTGAAAAATCTGGGCGTAATCTTTGACTCTGAGCTGACTTTTATTCCTCACATCAAGAGTATCACAAAAATAGGTTTTTATCATCTAAAGAACATCGCCAGAGTCCGCCCCATTCTCTCTCGGGGCAACACGGAGACGCTGATGCATGCTTTTATCACCAGTCGCATTGACTATTGTAATGCCCTGCTCTCTGGTCTTCCCAAAAAGAACATTGCAAGTCTTCAATTACTCCAAAACTCGGCCGCACGTGTCCTGACTAAGACCAGGGGGCGGGACCACATTACACCGGTTTTAAAATCGCTGCATTGGCTCCCCGTGTGTTTCAGAATCGATTTTAAGGTTCTTTTAATGGTTTTTAAATGTCTTAATGGTCTTGGGCCTTCTTATCTTTCAGATTTGCTTTTATCCTATGAACCTTCCCGGCCCCTGCGCTCCTCCGGCAGCAGACTCCTAACCATCCCCAAAGTCAGGACACACACTCACGGCGAGGCATCTTTCCAGCACTACGGCCCCCGTCTCTGGAACAGTCTGCCGGAGGAGCTCAGGGCCGCAGAGAACGTTCATATTTTTAAAAGTAGGCTCAAGACGCACCTTTTTAGAGTAGCTTTTGATTAGTTTTTATTATTCCATTCTATTTATCTTTTATTATTTATTATTTATTATATTGCTATTGCTATTATTCATGTATTGTGTGTTCCTTTTAGTCTCACATTTTAGTGTTTTACTTATTGTATTGTTTTTAGTGTACCCAGTGTTTCCTCTGGAGGAGCCCTCTGCACTGGGAGCAGTGGTCGGTGTGGCTGCGGGGGTCGGACTCTTGGGCCTGGTGGGGGCCTGGGGCCTCGGTTTCATGTCTCCTCTGGGTCCTGTGTCGTCCCCTGTGGCTACGGGCGGCTCTCTGCTCCTGGTGCAGACGGCTCCTTGGATGACGCTTTTTCAGCTGGTTGCATCTGAACCCTGCCAAGTCTCTCATCATGGTTTTATTGTTTTACTGGTGTGTGTGTGTGTGTGTGTGTGTGTGTGTGTGTGTGTGTGTGTGTGTGTGTGTGTGTATGAGTGTTCATGAGCACGTGTGTGTGTGTTTGTCTGTGGTTTGGGGGGGGTCTGTTGGGTGGTCTGGGGGAGGGGTCTTGGGTCGGCGGGATTGTTTTTAACCAATCTGTAAAGCACTTTGTGTTGCATCTTATGTATGAAAAGCGCTTTATAAATAAAATTTGATTGATTGATTGAAAAACAAAGGTGAAAACTAGCTATAGTTTCAAACTGCTTTGAGAGCGAGGAATAAGTTACATGACTTTTATTACACACTTCCATGTTTTGTTGTTTGAAAGTTGTTTGTACATTGTTTTCTGAAGTCTCCCCGTGTGTGCTACAGGTATTTGGCACGGCATACTGGAGGGGATTGGCGTCCTGGCCGTCATCACAAACGCCTTCGTAATCGCCATCACCTCTGACTACATACCGCGCTTCGTCTACGCCTTCAAATACGGCCCGTGCGCAGACAAGGGGAGCCACCACGAGAATAAGTAAGCATTGGGGGCACGTTTCGGGACACAGATCAGGCCCTGTTTTAACTCCTGGTGTTGGCTTGCAGGTGTTTACGGGGGTACATGAACAGCAGCCTGTCTGTGTTCGACATGGGGCAGACAAACAGCAGTCAGTTCAGATTCTGCCGCTACAGGGACTACAGAGCCTCCCCCTGGAGCCCCGTCCCGTACGAGTTCACTCTACAGTTCTGGCACGTGCTGGCGGCAAGACTAGCCTTCATTATAGTCTTTGAGGTGAGATCTGTGGAGCCATTTATCGCCATGGTGATTAGTGGTGCTGCTGGTACTATTACAAATTGCGTTCTCAATAAAACATGGGTGAGTGGGATAATTTAGCTGAATATGACATTTTGTATGGATTACAATATTACAATGTACTTTATTATATGATCGTTACTCACTGCTGTTACTACTACTGTACTGCCATCTCTAACATGTTGTTTGTGATGCATTACAATAAGAGTTAAGTAGTCTACTCAAATCATTTTATTTTTTGTATAGCCCTATATCACAACAGTAGTTATCTAGGACTTTACAAAATTGTCAAATTCACCAATGCAATGTCAAAAAACACATAGAGCCGTTGGTTCATAAGGAGCGGATGACCACTGTCCATGTTGATAAAAGTCCACCAATGTCGTTGTATAGGTTTTATTTGTTTAACTATTTTTAATTTAGTATTTTAGTGTTGTAGATGTTTTTTAATGAACCATCAGCGTTTCTGTTTTGTGCATTTTGAGCGCTTTCATAACAAGATTTGAGTGTCACAAAATATTTCAATAGGCTTGAAGTAGGAAGAAGATATGAGTATAATTTGAGAGTGTAAAGAATTAGATTTAGAGTTTGGAGTTTAGATTAGATGCATTATTTAGTTAGCATAAAGTGTTTGGTTGGACATATGATTAGAAAAATACAGGTAATTTCTCACTTAAAATGGAGACTAAGACTAAACCAGCGTCTTATTCTAATCCTGTTGAAATTAATTCAATCCAAAATATTAAAAATAAAACAGAGAATACATTGGATTAGTCTTAAAATATCAAAATGTTATGTACAAATCCAAACACAACATGCTATCTTATTGGAAAGCAAAAATATGTGTGAAAACCAAACCGTTTTCAGAGCAAGCAACCGAGTTTATGAGATAGAATTTTTTGGTAGTTGGAAAGTTATGTGCCCCAGCTTTAATTGAAACGATCATTTTAAGGCATTTTCTTTGCAGTGTGTTGTGGCACCCTCCAGCCAGGGACAGCTTTAACCCCGCCATTGCGTCACATTTCATCGGCTTTCATATCGCAGTCAACCCACGCCGCTAGCCTCTCCGTCCAATATGTTGCCACTGATATGTATGAGCAGCCTTGAAGCGAGCGTATGCATAATTTATTCATTCCTCCCTCAGCACCTGGTGTTCGGGATCAAGTCTTTCATCGCGTACCTCATCCCGGACATACCCAAGGACCTGTGCGACCGCATGAGGCGCGAGAAGTACCTGATGCAGGAGATGATGTACGAAGCCGAACTGGAGCACCTGCAGAAGGAGAGGAAGAAGAACGGACGCCGCTATCACCACGAATGGCCTTAGCTCCCCCCTCCCTCCCACCGCCACCCCCCCCCCCCTTTCCCCTCGTGTCCCATGTGTCCACTACTACATGCTGCACTGCTCTCGTACACCAAAGACACGGCCCCTGTTACCAGCGTTCACCTCCCCCCCACCTCCCCCACCCTCCTTCCCCTGCTACCATCTGCTCCATGTTTAGCATTGGCACCGATCCTCCATTTCCTCCTGTGACCCGGAGTCGTCCTCATCGTAGTCTCACCGGGAACAAACTCGATGTGCAATTGTAATGTTTACTATGCAGTTTCAAAAAAAAAGGGGGAGGGGGGCTCCCTACCTGCACCTCGTGGCAGCCCCCCCCCCCCTCTCTTCGACTTCAGCTTTCATGAAATGTTCTCTAGTTTCTGCATCAAACAACAATCACCGTTCGACGAGTCATGAGGGCAGAGCTATCGTGATGTCTCTTGTGACAAAAAGTGGTTTAGTGATGTTGCTACTAAATACAAAAAGTGACAAAATATCAGTGACTGTATTTCCCTAGAAGCATGCTGAGTCATATTTGCAGCAGATTTTGTCGATTTAAAAAAAAACAAGGAAAAAAAACAGCAATGATCAGTTCTCAGTGACATTCTGCATGGCAATATTTGTTTTGTACTTTCTGACAGAGTCCATGTCTTGATGCCCGGTGTTTGTATCAGATGTGCGTAACTCGTCCGTGCTCCTGTCGAGCTTGACTGTGCTGAGGAAATGTAAAACTCGTTCAGTTTGATCGTGCCTACAGCCAACATCACGTGTGCCTGTCTGTGCTGCACATGCGCCCCAAGTGCAAGAAGTCTCGCCTCTCTCCTCTTCTTTCCTTTCGTGACGATAAAAGCCTGGCTCGATCTAACCTGTGAGGATTCGGTTTGGACCTGCGTCACCTTCCGCGGTCTCGGCTAACGACTTTGCCGTAACGCGACTCCGTCATGAACAATGTATACGTTTGCATGCAGTAGCCACTCTTCCGTTCGGCATGTTTCTCATTTACCCCTGGGTTAGACTTGCAGCCCTGAAACATACCTGTGGCTTGAGCTGCGAAGAACATCCCCCTCCAGCCCACACTTTATATCAACATCAACAGCTACTCACATCTTGACAGTTTTCAACGATTCCAACCACTACCATGCCTTTGTCTTCGGTTCTGGAATCATGCCTGAGTAACGTGTTTTGACCCATAAGGACTCAGGAAAACAAACAGCATGAAGTAACTGTTCTCATTTGATAATTGGTTGTTTTTTATTTGTATCAGAATGGGAGTTGTTGCATGAACGCTAACGCAGAGTTTGTGGTGAAAAAGAAAAGCACATGCCTTTTGGATGCTACTGTTTTATGCACATGTTTTACTCAGTCATTACATGGAACTATCAATATGTTTTTTATTTGTTTTACATTTTTGTTTCTGTTTCATTTGAATATTTTACATTTTCACACTATTTATTTCAACCTCCTTTTCAAACTATTTATTTCAACCTCATTTTTGCAACTAGATAATGTCCATATTTCTCAGGTGTCTTCTGAATGTTTGCAAATGTTCAGCTTTTTATTGTCACATTTTCTAAGATGCAATCAAATGTAACTGCTTTTAGATATATATTTTTTTTGCACTCCAGTGCTCTTGCATGATGATGCACACCTAAAGCTAAAAGCATGTTGTTTTGCTTAGATTAATTACACAAGGCTATTACAACCAATAAGGAATAGTTGAAAAAAGTGTAATATGTTTAAGTTATTTTGTTCTAAGAAAGATTAGACTAAAAGCTAGCTTTATATTTCTCTAGTGCACTATATGTATTTTTATGTATTTTCTCTGCGACGTGAACACTGAAAGTCTATGCATGTTGCTGTTTCTTCATTTGTACTGAAGCTAACATCAATGTTCTGGTACATTTGTACTGTAGAGAATGCATGACGTAAAACCCGCTTTGAGCTGAGCTAACGTGTTCACGGCATCAACACATCACCGCCCTTTTTAGCATTTACGTTGTTCGTTTCTCAATGACTTTTATACTACATGATGATTTTCTACATAGCTAGAGACCCAAGTCAGCCACGGTAGATCGGATTAACTTAAGTGTTGCCTCGCAGACAAAGTGGTAAACATCTGGTTAGGAGGCATTGTTTTAAATGACCTTGTATGTGTGAGTGACCAGCCTCTGCTGGACGATACTTCATGTTATCACTTCTCTATGAGCAAGAGCGTTCTCTCTAAACTCTGCAGGGGACAGAGTGTTACGTCCCACTGTTGGCCATGGCACAATACAGCGCTTGTATAAGGAGTAATAATGGCGTGACCTTGCACATTAGAAACACTGCGTCTGGAGACTGGATTCTGTAGTGTGCTGTGGTTCACGTGGAAACTGGACGTTTGCACACTCCTTGTGAAGAGGCTCTTCAATCAATCAATCAATCAACGTTTATTTGTAGAGCGCCTTTCCTACACAAGGCAACGCAAAGCGCTTCACATCCCCTATCACATCATGCATAAATCAAACACATTAAGAGCACAAGATATATTAAAAACATTAAAAATAAAATCACAAAAATTAAAAACCTTTAAACATTAAAATCACAGATGGGACTAAAATCATAAATAGTCACAGTGCATTAAAAAGATTAAAGATAAAAACAAAGATGAAAAGATAAAATCATTCAGTTGTATATGCGCAGTTAAACAGAATTGTTTTGAGCCTAGATTTAAAAGATGCCAGAGTAGACGCCTGTCTCACATTCTCAGGAAGACTGTTCCAGACTCTAGCCGCATGAATCTGAAATGCAGTTTGCCCATGTCTAGTACCGACTCTGGGCACTAACAGGAGTCCAGTCCCTGTGCTCCTCAGAGTCCGGGTCGGTTCATATGGCACAAACATGTCATGGATGTACCTTGGCGCGAGACCATGGAGAGACTTGTACACAAGTAAAGCTGCTTTGAAGTCTATTCTCTGAGGAACAGGAAGCCAGTGCAGAGACCTGAGAACTGGACTAATGTGGTCGTACTTCCTAGTTCTGGTCAGGACTCGAGCTGCTGCATGTTGAATGTACTGCAGCTGTTTTACAGCCTGTTTGGAGAGACCTGTGAACAAGCCATTGCAATAGTCTAACCGACTGGAGACAAAAGCGTGTATAAGAGTCTCCAAGTCTGCCTTAGACACTATGTTTTTAATTTTAGCAATGTTTTTTAGGTGGTAATAAGCTGCTGATGTTACAGATTTTATGTGGCTTTTGAAATTTAAGTCTGAGTCCATTATCACCTCTTCAGGATTATCTGGGGAAAAAAGCTTTAGAACAGTAATTTTGACCAATAAATGAGAATAACAGGAGGTGGAGCAGTGTTCTAGAACTGATGGGTCAGAATTCAGCATCATAAAGTTTTGCACAGTTAAAAAACCTTACTCCATACTGTAAGATTGAGCCAATTGAAAAAAGTAAAATAATACTAACTTAAACAAACAATATAATGATTAGCATTTTACAAGCTGCGTGTAAACGGCCTGTTTCCACTGTAGCTGACGATAGAGAGATGTATCTGAAACATGTTTACTTTGTTCATGTTTACATAGAAAAACATGCAGAAATGTATTTAAGTAATGTAATATAAAATAGTTTGGATATCACTTTCTGTAATAAATCATGGATTGTAACTTTTCACTTCCAATTCCACTCTTTTTTTCCCCCCACACACGTTTTAATGTAAAAGTCACATCAGAACATTTACATTTTTTTTGTACATGACACACAACAAATCTATGCCCAAGGACGGCTCTGTGTTCTGTATCCTCGATCAGACGACATTTTTCACCTCTTTTTCCTCCGTTCTGGCATCAACAGCCTCCAAAATTGAGACACATGCACATATTCATGCTGAATTATTTCCTGCATGTTACTGTTGGATGCCTCAGCGGGATATTTCCTTTCACTCACTTCACCAACACAATTACTAGACTTAATGGGGCTTCACTCACTGTCAGGTCAGGGGGAGCAGGGGAGAAGAAAAAACAAGTATGAAGCTGGTATAGGGGCATATATTTTCGTTTCTACAGAGCTCCTATCATATATCATAAACGCAGTTAACCTCCCTTGTTGACGACAGGCGTAAGTTGTGGGTCACTACGGCAGGGGTCAGGGATGTGTCGGATTTACAGCAAAGGTCAGGACGGCAATCAGCGCAGCGGCAAAGAGCACAACCCATAAATCCCACAAGACCAAGGAGCAGCACTAGAGGACAGACCACGGCGAGAAATATTACAGCTGTATCACGAACATATAGGAGCTTTGTATTTATCCAAGTCGACTTAATCGTTCATGTTCACTCCTTGAAGAAAGCAGTGTAATTTAAATGTCTATGTTCTTTAAACCCAAGATTTTAATTATAAGGTTCAAGGTGACTACTGTATTTCTACTTGTGGGTAGATTCTTTTGTAGTTTAAAAAGAGATGGACTTGGCTTTTACACAAAAACATCACACAAAAATCACATGTACACAAATAACAGTAAAAACACAAAAGATGAGTAAAGAAAATATGTTAAAAATAGGGTAAAAGTGGTCAAAAGGTGCTTAGTCAGGACTCCAGAGGAAAAACCCAGGATAAGAAATTAAAGTCACTATGCAAACTACAGCCTGGTCTGTAATTATAGGCCTTTACCAAATGGTTGAGATGCAGTTTGATGGTAAAAGTGATCCACCAAATGGTTGAAGAAACTATTAAAGGTTTAAAGCAAAGAATCTGTGTACTCAACTCCTTCAACCAGTTATCGCTCTCAAAACGCTTTGCTTCTATATAGTTTTAACATTCAGGTATTTTTGGCCTCTGTCACATCTTTAGATCAGCTTTTTCAGGCAGAAAAGTGAAACCTCCGCCTCTTAGCCAATCAGCTTTCAGCCACAAGTGTTAAATTGTGACTCACATGGCTCTTTATGACAAATATGTAAAAGAAATATACGTAATCTTTATTTACAGTACATAGCGCACTTTTGCAAGACTTTCACAGAG